CCTTATAGAGGCCCTTAGTTTTCCATTTAAAATTAGTGCAATTGCTGATTGGTGTTTAAAAAAAATCTCATATTCTTTTAAATATAGTAATCTGAAGGTATTGCTGAATTTAGTAACACAGCTGAGAACAGTATCCTTAAAAACAAATAATCTAGTTTAGGTTAAATGGGAATAGTTGGCTAAATATGATTTTTAAAAATAATACTTAAGGTAAATGTAGGAACCAAATATATTAGCATGACAAAAAGTGTTCAGAAGAGGTAGTACCTTTGTACTTAATTTTTAAAAATTTAAATGCCTGTATTGTGTAGGTTTTAACATTTTAGGACCACATGTATGTATAGCATAGTAATAATTTACTGTAAGTTTTTAGTGCACTATATTAGTTGAAGTACGATAAAGAAATTCTTGCAGAAGAGTGGAATTACTTCTGAAATACTGTGTTTTCCTGCTTGTATTCCTCATCCTACGTACTCGAATAAAGCGACTATTTTTTCCCTGATAAGAAAGGTAGAAACAAATGATTGTTTTACTTTTTTTTTTTTTTTTTTTTGAGGGGGGGTCTCACTCTGTTACCCAGGCTGGAGTACAATGGTGTGATCTTGGCTCACTACACCCTCTGCCTCCCAAGCTTAAGCGATTCTTGTGACTTAGCCTCCCGAGTAGCTGGGACTACAGGTGTGTGCCAGCATGCCCAGCTGATTTTTTTGTAGTTTTGTAGAGATGGGGTTTCACCGTGTTGGCCAGGCTGGTCTCAAATGCCTGACCTCAGGTGATCCACCCACCTTGGCTTCCCAAAGTGTTGGGATTGCAAGAATGAGCCACCTTACCTGGCCTGTTTTACTTTTTTTGTCTTCAGAATGCTTATTATGCAATGAAAGTAGAATCCCTCTCACTGTCCCACAATGTGGAATTCTCTAATGACTGTAAATCAGTATTATTATTTTTTAAATCATTACTGAAAGTTCTTTTATGATACTAAGCAGATGTCAGGATTTACTCTTCAATTAGGTGGGATAGTGGTAATGAGCAGATTAGACTCCTTTGCCGGTGACACATTGCTTAGGAGAACTGACATTTAGACCACTGATCCCCCTAGTGATTTTACATGTCAGGACTGAGCTATCTGTCACTTCCTCTATCTTAAAAATAGGCAGAATAAACAAGAGGATTTTTACAGACTATAAAATCCAAACTAAATAATTCTGAAAAAGCCTTGATGATTTAAAAGTCTTTTAAGTATCGTAAATTTTATTTTTTCAAATGAACATGCAGTAAAACTTTTTCTGTGTATAGTTGATAAATTTTAGCACGTATATAGATTTATCTCGCCGCCATCACAGTCAATATCTGGAATAGTTTCCTTAGCTCAAAAAAACTACCTTGTTATACCTGTGTAGTTGTGCTCCCTCCATACCCCTCAATACCTGGTAACTCTGCCATTTTACTTTTGTCTTTTCAAAAATGATCATGAAGTAGAATAATAGACCATGAAGCCAGTTAAGACTGTTAGGTGTGCTTTTACTCAGTATAATGCCTTATAAGATTCATATAAGTTGTTCTGTGTATTGATATTTTATTCCTTTTTATTACTGAGTAGTATTCAGTTGTATGGATGTGTACCACAGTTTAAATTCATTAATTGGAGGACATTTGAGTTGTTTCCAGTTTTTAACTATTTTGAATAGAGCTGCTATAAACATTTTTGTATAGGATTTTGTGCAAATGAGTTTTCATTTCTGTTGGGTAAAAATACATAGGTATGGGATTGGTGGGTCATATGGCGTTTATTGTGAAGAAATTGACAATTTGTTTTCTGAAATGGCTATACCACTTTGTATTTACATCAGCAATGTATGAGTGTTCTAGTTGTTCTGCACTCCTGTCAGCACTTGGTATGGTTCATCTTTTTCATTTTAGCCATTCTAATAGATTTGCAGTCGTACCTCATAATGAGTTTCATTTTCATTTTCCTGATAGCTAGTAATGTTGCACATTTTGTCATATATTTTGTTACATTCTCTTTGGTGAAGGATCTATTCAGGTCTTTTGACCATTAAAAACAACATTTTTATTTTGGAAGAAGTTTAGATTTATAGAAGAGTTACAAAGATAATACAAAGAGTTCCTTTATATTCCTCACATAGCTTGCCATAATAATAACATTTTACAAAACCAAATGCATTTTTCAAAACCAAGAAACCAACATTGGTACCTTACTACTAACCAAACTCCAGATTCCAAGCTGGAATTTTGCCAGATTTTCCACTGGTCTCCTGTTCAAGAATCCATTCCAGGTTTACATGTTACCTTTGTCACTCTTCCCAAATCTCATGTAGTCTATGACAGTTTCTCAGCCTTTCTTTGTTTTTCATAAACTTGACAGTTTTGAGTACTAGTTCCAGTCAGATACTTTGCAAAGTGTCTCTCAATTTGTGTTTGTCTAATGTTTTTCTTGTGATTAGACTTAGGTTATAAGTTTTAGGGAAGAATCCACAGAGGGAAATGCCCTTTTCCTCACATCTTATCAAAGTACATGATGACAACATTACTTGGTTAAGGTATTGTTTATCAGATGTCTTCACTGTAAAGTTGACATTTTTGTCTTTTTGTATTCTGTTCTTTAGAAATGAGTTGCTAATTTCAGCCCACAATCCAAGTGCTTGGGAGATTGTTTCATCTTATGGATGGGGTATATGTATTTGTTATTAAGATTTCTTCTGTAAGTAAGCTTTTGTCCCTTTTTTTCCATTTATTTATTCAGTTATTTATATCAATATGTATACTTACTTTATACATTGGCTTATAATTCAGTACTGTTATTTTTTTGCTAAAATTGTTCCAGTGTTGTTCCCTGTATTCCTTTGACATGTCCCCATCCTTTTCTTTTTTGAATACTTCCTTAATTTTTGGTTCTACAAGGTACTCCAGGTTCATCATACATTTTATCTGCCTTACCCGTAGAATCGGTGATTTCCTTTTAGGAGCCCTGGTTTCTTGTGTTGGACAATTGTGTTTAGATCCATTGTCTCTCTGGGTACTAGATATACTTGTTGATACAGGGGTATCACCATTTCAAGGCCTTCTCAAAGGATAGAGCTAGGAAATAATACATTTGTATATTAATCATGTATTTATGTACATCTATAATTGTTTCTGTATCCATTTGTATTATATATTATGCTGTATATATATCAAGTTCATACTGATGTCTGTGACTAATCCAGTAGCGCAGGGTTCATTCTAGGCTTTTCTACTTTATCTGTAGCTTTCCTTTCTAACAGAAACCTGGCCTTGATCATCCATTTACTTACTTGTTCCATCTCAGTAAAGCAAGTTCACAATTGTTAACCAGTACCCCTGTGAGAAATAAATTTACCCTACACCCTTTAGTTGGGTTATGTCATTCATTTATAATATAGCCAGATTCATTTGTCATGGACTGCCTTCTATCTTAAAATTTCCCCAACATCTTAGTTGATTTTTAAACATTTGCATACATTAAAGCTTAATATTTGTGATGTGCAGTTCTGTGGGTTTTGACAAATGCACAATGCCATGTGTACACCACCTCAGTATCATACAGAACGACTTCATCACACTAATGATGTTGACCTTTTTTCCCCAATCTTTGTCTCTGCTCAGATTGGATCACTTTTATTCATCTGTAGTAAGTTCACTGACTTTTTATTCTGTCATCTTCATTCGACTATTGAGCTCATTTAGTGAGCTTTTTATTTTGGTTATTGATATTTTTCTACTTCTAAAATTTCCAATTGATTCTTCTTTGTATCTTCTGTTTTTTTTTTTTTCTTTTTTTTTTCCAAGCTTATCCTTTGTTTCAGGAATGTTTGTAGTTACCTGTTAAAGTATTCTGTAATAATGGCTGTAATATCTTTAATATCTTAGGTAATTTCAACATCTTTGTTTTCTTGATGTTGGCATTTTTTCTGTGCAAGTTGAGATTTTGTTGATTCCTTGTATTCCTAGTAATTTTGGATTATATCCTGGACATTTGACTATTATGTTAGGAGACATTGGATCTTGCTGAAATACTATGCAGAATATTGATGTATGTGTTTTAGACCGTCAACCCAGTTAGATTCACACTGCAAGTAAGTTTCTGTGGGTTATAGTTACAGCATCAGTTTGATTTTCAAAGCTTTTACCATACTACTTGGTTCTGTCCCACATGTGTGTCACCCATTGCCAGTCTGGAACTTGGGTGGGGGTCTATTCCATAATTCTCAAAGTCTGTGTATGTTTGTTTGGGTCAGATGCACACAAGTGCCACTTGAGGCTGAGTCCAGCAGTTCATAAAACAACTTTGAGGTGTTGCTTTCCCATGTTCCTTGTCTGTTATCTCCCAGTAATTTCAAATTCTGCCTGGCTTCCCTTCTCTGACCAGGAAATGGGTCTTTCTCTCTCTTTAATGTTCACTCCCTGCAACTATGCCCATATTCAGGGCCAAATGGCAAGAGGACAGAGAAAGAAGCAGTAGGGATTCACCACATCCTTTTGGGACCACAGCCTCTGTGTTCAGAGTTAGATTCCCTCTCTCAGAGTTTTAGGTTCTTAATGGCCTCCAGTGCCACTGTTGCCACAGCTGGGATGGGTGGCTGGCCTTGAGAGCGAAAAAAAGGGAAGAAAAAGGAGGGATTTGCATACTTTCTTGTGAGTGTTAGGAGTCTTCTTTCCTTCTTCTCGAGCCAGAGGTAGAGGGATTCTCCTGCAGCTTTCCATTTGGTCTGTATTATGTTTAGTCTGCATGAAAGCGGGGCAGGGGGATATAAATGGTAAACCTGTGGTTGCTTCAGTGGTACATCAAATTCTGATTGTCTTACTTAATCTGCCTGCTACTGTTACTTTTCAAAATTCCCTAGTAGCTGCTCAATGCCTTCTGTCCAGGTCTTATAGCTACATTAACTTGTTGGCATGTGATTACCCCATCTTATCTGAAACTGGAACCTGACTTAAGGTTTTCAATTTTGTTTCTCTAGGAATTTGACAAGAAACTGAAGTTTTGATTCAGATATATTTTGAATTGAAACCAGAGATGTACTAGAGTTTAGATTCCTTCATTTGATTAAGGTAAGATTGTTTAATAAAATTTAATCATACCTTTACTATCCATTCTCAGAGATGTGTTAGAATTTAGATTCTTTTCGTTTGATTAAGGTAAGATTGTTTAATAAAATTTAATTATACCCTTACTATGCATTTTTAGACATATTTTAATGTGTATTAACACGTTTAAATTTCCCAGTCTAATTGGAGATTCTGACCTCAGGAAATATTTTCCTGGTTTCTTTACCATTTAAATAACTAATGTTCCTTGTAACAACTACTAGATGCAAGGAAAACATGATTATACATTTGCTGAAAGTGTTATATACTGATATCAAATCTGTTTGCAGGAGTCAGCGAACTATGGCCTACAGGCCAGCCACCTGTTTTGATAAAAAAGTTTTATTGGAACACAGCCACACCCACTTAATACATACTGTATGTGGCTGTCTTAGCACTACGGTGGTGGAGTTTTTAGTTGGAACAGTGTCTGTATGGCTCATAAGCCTAAAATCTGGCCCTTTTAGGAAAGTTTGCTGACCCTTGGCCTAGAAAACTGGAGCAGGGTATCTTATGCTATGTAATTATAATGTATGAAAACTTATTAGAGATTTATATATGCATATAAATATATATGGAGCTACAGGAACTCTAATTTCTTGAAGTGAGGGGTCTGTATTATTACTTAGAGGAGGTGCTAGTTTTCTGAAGTAATTGATTTTTAAAATAAGACTTAATGTTGTTAGCAGTTAAGTACTAGGTGCTTATTTTTTAAGTAGAAGCCTTCATTTTGCTTAGATTTTCAAAAATAAAAGTTTATATGATAAAGGTCAAGTTTGTTCCCTTTCTAAAAACTTCACACAAACGCATTTAATTATATTTGTCTTTCCTACTAAATTTAAACTGAACGAATAATATCTTGAGAGTGATGATTGTGTGTTTTTAATATCCATTCTAGTAATTTAAGTAGTTTAGCATATATAAACTTAATTGAAAACATGCTAATATAAAACTACATTTAGTGGCTAAAGTTGGAGTTACGTTTCTCTCTGAGATTTAAATGGAACTGCTTATACTTGTTTGTGATTCCTAAAATTATGAGTATTTTAAAAAACATAAGATAGAAGGAGAAATTTAAATTGGAGCCTAGAAAGTCTATAAAATCTTTGCTACACTCCTCAGGAATCTCTTGGCTAAAGACAAAAAAAGTATATATTAAAAACATGCCATGTAAGTTAGAATTTCCAACCAAGATCATAAAGGAATTTCTCTGTTTATTGCACCAAAATCAGTATCATAAAGGAATTTCTCTGTTCAAGGCACCAAAATCAGAAACAAATTATTTTTGCTATTTTCTATGTAATTTTAGCAAAATAAAGTAAGCTTGTGAAGTCTTCATCACATAAAGAACTATTATTTGACTTGAAAGTAGCCTCTTGTATATCATGCCTAACCAGAAATATATTTGGTTTCCTAATAGACTTGAGGTATCTTTGCTTGCATTTTTATAAAGCAAATTTAAAACTTTTTAAAATTTACTTTTTAAAGGGACGGAATCTGGAAACTTACTAGGAAGAAAATACTTTGCATCCTTTTGTGCCATCATGCATTTTATATTTAAATCAGTATGGATTTAGAATTTGAGGGCTTACACATTTGAATTATGAAAGGTGATAAAATTAAGCTCCAGAAGGGATAGAAATCTTGATAGCTTTAATATGTTAATAAGGCCACCTTAGCATTGTGTGTGTTTAGCTGTGGAGAGTATCTGATTTGTAAACTAAGATTTATGAATAAGTAAAATTTTCTTTTAAATGATGGATGATACAAGAAGGTAATGCTAATGGTTTTTGCATCTATTAATATCATATCTTAAGACATCTTTTTTTTTAAACTTCCCTGATTTATGTTCTAGTTGTGCTACTTAAAAGTAAAACAAGGGGAAATAAACTTATAGGAAAGTTTACACTTTGATTTTCTTTTTCATGTAATCTTAGATTATTTAGATTTTTCTAGCTCAGCATAAAAAAATCAAATACTGAGTCATTGCCGGCTTGATAGTATCATTGAAATTAAATATGTATACGTTAAAGACAGGCATATAATTTTTTCTTTAAATTGAATATACTGCTTATCTTTTAAAGTATATTGTGGCTAGATAAGAAAGGGCCTGAATGGACCTGATTTGGAATTTTCTCTGTTCAAGTCTTTGAAGTTATTCAGACTAAAAGAGAATGTCAGCTTTTTAATTTCGTAAAACCTGATCCATATTAACAAAAAGTTAATACTTTCCCCTTAATTAATATATATTTGGGGGAAAATGCTTTGAGGCTTCACAAATATCTTGTTTCTCCTTTAATTTTTGGCCACTAATTTTGGCATTTATAGGTAGATCTTCTTTCTATTCTCCGTATTTCCTCTACATTTATCAATTATAATTCTTCTGTAATACCGAATAGTCCCTCCTCACATTTATTTACTTAATCATTTACTTATATCAGTGTGACCTCATGGATATTTATTTTATTCTCTGGATTCGAATCAAAATTCCGTTGTTGTTTATTTTGTTGCTCATATTGTTCCAGCTTTGGCCACTAGGAGCACTTTTTAATATGTCATTGTCTTTTTCTTTTCTTTTTTTTTTTTTTTTAAAGCAATTCCGTACTTTCTGACTTTATAAGATGCTTCAGGCTCAACTTGTATTTTCCCTGCTCTAGCACTGAAATCACTTACCTCTCCAAGGAACCCAGGTCCAACTTATTGGAGGATAGTATTTAGAAACCAGCATCTGGGTGCTAGGTATTTGCTGAGCTGTTACTACCTTTAGGCCTTTCAGGGGTCAGAGTTAGGAAATGTATACTGATATGGTTAGGTTTTGTGTCCCCATCCAAATCTCATCTTGAATTGTAACCCCCATAATCCCCACATGTTGAGGGAGAGACCTGGTGGGAGGTGACTGGATCTGGGGCAGTGTCCCCATGCATTTCTCGTGAGTGAGTTCTCACGAGATCTGATGGTTTGGTAAGTGTCTGACAGTTCCTCCTTAACACACTTGCTCCCTTGCCTGCTGCCATGTAACACATTCCCTTCTCCTATGATTGTAAGTTTCCTGAGGCCTCCCTCAACCATGTGGAACTGAGTCAATTAAACCTCTTTCCTTTAAAAATTACCCAATCTTGGGCAGTTCTTTATAGTAGTGTGAAAACAGACGAATACATATACCAAGCCACATATACACAGACATCTATATTTATATCTGTGTTTACTTTCATATACATGCTTAAAATATTAATTCATACTGGTACCTTCAACTCCAGTTTTGCACCACAGGGATTATTCTAGCATTTCCCCTCTGCTTATTTGGAGTTTCTTTCTCCCATAGTGAGAAAACTGACTCTCATTCTCTACACTACATTTATGTATTTATTATACATATATAGTAGTTTCCAAATTGCTAACCCATACTCCTGTGAAAAACACATTTACCAAATACAATACAGTGTTTGTGTACAGTTATTTTTATCTTTATTCTCACATGAACCAGCCAAAATGCTTTTTTCCAAAGTTAGTTGTCAGGCCTTTTCTTCTGTATATCCCCTTCAGTCTACTCTGCCATTTCATTTGTACCACAGTTAGATTCATTTGTCACAGTTCGCATTCCATCTTGGGTTTCCCTGATATCCTGGTTATTTGCATGTAATTTATATACAGTAAAATTCATTCTTTGTGTTGTACAGTTTTGTGAATTTTGAAAAATGCATAGAGTCACATATCTACCAACAACAGTTCTGTGACCACCCCCCCGCCAGTTTTTTGTGCTGACGCTTTGTGGTCAGCCTGTCTCCCCAGTCCCACATCCTGGCTAATGCGTGTTCTGTCTAATGTGTGTTCTATCCCTTTAGTTATTAGCCTTTTCCAGAATCTTATATGCATGGAATCTTGCAATATGTAGCCTCTTAGATCTGGCTTCTTTCATTTAGCAAAATACATTTTAAGTTTTATCCATTTGTTGCATAAATCCTTAGTTTGTACCTTTTTGTTGCTGAGTAGTATTCTATTATATGTACATAATTTGCTTATTCATTTATCTGTTGAGGGACATCTGGGTTGTTTGCAGTTTTAGTCAATCATGAATAAAGGTACTACATTTACAAATAGGGTTTATGTGTGTGTGTATATACATAAGTTTTAATTTCACTTGAGTGAATATCTAGGAGTGAGATTATGGACCTTATTTTAAGCGTATATTTAATTTTATAAGAAACTGCTAAACTGTTTCCAAGTGAATGTACAATTTTGCATTCCTGCCACCAGTATATAAGAATTTTTGCTTCTCTGCATCCTTGTCAGCACTTGATATTGTGCAGTATAGTTTTCCCTTTTATCTGTTCTAATGTATGTGTAGTGGCAGCTTGTGTTTTTCAGATGACTCATAATGTTGAGCACCTTTTCATATGTCATCCTTATATGTTTGTGAAAAGGTAGCTGGTCTCTTTTATTTCTCTGTGTTTTCTTTTTTCATGATCAACCAGGTAGATAGTCTTTCCAATATCTTTTTACTCAAATTAGCTGCCATTATCTCTATTTAGCTATACTTTATAATAAAATACACATTTCCATATGAGTTTTGGTTATCTGTACCTATTCAAAGTAAATGTATGTATAGTTTTATATAGCTGAGAAATTGAATGATAATTTTATTGTTGTCTAAAGCTACGTTGCAGTGTAGGAATCTATCCAAAGATTACATCTGTGACTGAAACAACATGTAAGATAAGACAAACTGTGATAAATTCTGCTAGTGCTGAAGATTGGCAATTGGGTTGACAAATGTTGCCTTAGAAAAATAAATTTTAGGGTATTTGATGAGATCTTTTCACCTTTGAGTATCAAATGAACAAAGAAACTGATGCTCTCTTGGGATATCTGTCAGTATGGACAACCTTTGGTATGTTCTTACAACTAATCAGTTAATATTAGGTGCAAGATTAGAAATGAATGTTTTTAAACTTGGGCTACTTTAT